ATGTGCAGTGGTGGGTTCTCAGGCTTACAACATGGAGACTTTGGCTATGGCATTACAAAAAGGGATGAAACCTACAGGGAATTGTTTTAATTGTGGGAAGCCTGGCCATTTTAAAACTCAGTGCCGTGCTCCTGGGGGGGGAATGGCATTTAACAAAAACAAAATTAAGGACATTCGCCCAAAATCAGTCTGTCCAAAATGCAAAAAAGGGTTTCATTGGGCAAATCAATGTCGCTCTGATCAGAACCAAAATCCGGGAAACTAAATTTGGGGCGTGCAGCTAGCCCCGCTCCCAAGGCTGTCACAAAAGCATCGCCTGCAATTACTGGGAATGCAGGTTTGAGTTTAAAAATGCTGAATTCAATTGATGTGACTTTTCCTAATCAAGTGTACATTGAGGACACTCATTTGCATGGGCCATTGCCAGAAAAAACAGTGGGATTAGTACTTCCCAGGTCTTCTGCAGCAGAAAAAGGATTTTTTGTTATTCCAGGAGTTATTGATCAAGATTATAAAGGGGTTATTAAGGTACAATTATACACTGATACTCCTACATCATTAATGGCCGGTGACTCTATTGCTCAGTTATTATTGCTTCCATACATTCCTATGAATCCTTTAATTGGGATCCCACGAACTGGCGGTTTTGGATCCACTGAAATGACCAGTTCTCCAATTGCTGCAGAATTGCTAGTGCTGACAAAAAATTTGACTACAGACCAACCAAAAATGACAATTGAAATTCAAGAAAAATCATTTTCTGGCCTTATAGATTCCGGAGCAGATGTCTCTGTGATACGCCAAAAGGAATGGCCAAATGAATGGGCGCTTGAGGACTCTCCGGCTGTTCGTGGAGTGGGTGGTATGCAATTTGCTAGAAGTAGTGTACATTGGTTGAAGGCATTGCATAAAGAAACTGGTGAGACTGCAAGGATTCAACCTCTTGTGTTGCCCTTGCATATAAACTTGTGGGGTAGAGATTTGCTATCACAATTTCGCACAAAAATTGTTATTGGATAATGGAAAAATTGCAATTGTTAACCTCTCAGCCAGTCTGGATTGACCAATGGCCACTTCCAAAGGACACTCCTTCACACAAAAACAAAAACGGGGGAAATGGATGGATATGGCTTGCCTTACATACAAAACATTCTTAATATTACATTATATACTTTAAATTTTTTAAACATGACAGCTGCTACGGCAGCCAGTAGGCATTTTGCTTCCTCCTCTTCTGCAGGTACGCCAAGACCGAAAGTTCGGTATAGGAGACTGCCAGATCCAACGTGGAGAGGACCTGTCCCGCTGATAACTTGGGGCAGAGGATACACTGCTGTTGAAGATGAGGGGACAGTTGTTTGGGTTCCTGCTCGCTGTGTTCGTCCTTATCATCAGCCAAAGGGGCAAGGGGATGGATTTGGGGGAATGGAAAAGAAACACGTTGATCCAGGACATGGGGAAGCTAGCAAACCTTCATAATAAAACTGATTGTTGGATATGTATGCACATGCCAACTCACAAAACATCAGGGCTTCCAATGGTTGCAGTACCTCTGGCCGAAGGTGACTGGTATAAGGGACAATGTTATGGTTGTTCGGGGATGTGGTCTAACAGTTGGGACTATAAGTAACATAAATACCTTGCACCTTGGAAGCCGAATCCAAGAGGTGGCGGGTATCTGTTGGACCCACAATGAGACAGTAGAGAATATGACTTACTTGGGAACATATCCATTTTGCAACAAAACAATTGTTATTAGCAATGGAAGTCGGTTTTATTCTAATGATATGAAAACTAAAAATCTCACTTACTTTGTACATAACATTTCTCGATATGATATCACATCTTTGATCAATGAAAATAGGTGTCCATATATTCCTGCCACATGTTGTCCCACCACGAGAGAAAACCAGTTGCCCAAATGTGCGAATGGGAAATACGCACCACCATCCACTTATTTGGCTATGTTAATGGAATCCTTTGCAAAATTAATCTATGCTGAACCAAATACGGTTGGTCATCTCCTGGGAGCAAATCTATGGTTGCTGTGTGGACGGATGGCCTATGATCGCATGCCAGCACGATGGAAAGGAGTCTGCACCTTTGGGAAAGTAATCCCATCTCATTTCATTCAAAAATCTTTGGGGACTGCTCATATCCGCAATGCGCGTTCCGCAACGGAAATAAACTCTGTTTTGACTCATGACTACTGGACACAAATATCAAGGGGAGTTATTCCTCCTTTAGGAATCATGATGAACTATAGAGATTTACATCGTTTAAACAACTGGACAATTACTATGTTTAAAGAAACCATTAAAACTCTAAAGCTGCTTGAAGAAGAGCAAGGAAAAATCCTTGACTTTGTCCTGCAAACCAGATATGCGGTGGACACTATTTTGGCAGCGCAAGGGGGAGTTTGCGCTGTGATTCATACGCATTGTTGTATGTATATCTCTGATTTTTCTCCAAACATTACAGCTACTATACAGCATATGGAACAAACCCTGAATGAGAATCCATTACGATCGGAAGACGAGGGACTGGACGTGTGGTCTGCACTTTGGTCCTGGTTGCCAGATGGTTCATGGATTCGTCAATTAATTTTTGGAGTGATATTGTTTTTTATACTTTCTCTTTGTGTATGCTGTTGTATCCAATGTCTCCCTGGACTTTTAGGAATGTATCAGGTGAAGCCTACGGAAGGAGAGCTGTTGTTGCAGATGGCGAAAAGCTACCGAGGCATCCGCGATCATCAAAAAACTAAAACAGGGGAGATGTGGGAATAAACTTTGACCTGAGCTTGAGCAATGATTAATATAATGCTTTATACATACATGCCTGTTTAAAGGTCACTAAGGTAATGCAAAGAAAAGAGAACAATAAGGACAAATACAAACAAGGAGACAGCTTAAACAATTGCAAGCAAACCTTTACTATATCTAATTATTAAGCCATAATGTAATTATGCTGACTATGTAGAAAAATCTCAATAAAAAGAAGCACTAGAATTTATTCTGGGCTTCCATCCCGAGAACACCAGCCTGTGTCTCATTCTTTCCATGGAAGACCACCACATAAAAACTAGATCATCTGCAAATGCCTGCAAATTATACTTCTCTTTTCTTATTTCCATCCCTTTTATCTAATCTTTTCTGATAGTTCTATTTAATACTTCTAACGTTAATACAAACAACAATGGTGATAAAGGACACCCTTGCCTTGTTCCTTTTTCAATATGGATTTTTTCCATCAATTCTTGATTATTGTTCTCACTGTCAGGAAATTTCTCTTTAGTTCTAGGTTGCTTCTCTCCTTGATTAGTTTCCATCCATTGCTTCTTGTCCTGCCCTCAGGAGCTTTGGAGAATAGCTTGACTCCCTCTTCTATATATAGTTCAGTTATTTGAAAGCCTGGCTTCTCCCATTGCAGGTAGTCCTCGACTTACAACCATTCATTTAGTGACCTTTTGAAGTTATAACAGCTCTGGAAAAAGTGACTTATGACCATTTGTCACACTTTCACACTTATGGCCATCCCCATGGTCACGTGATCAAAATGTGGTCTATTTATTTATTTAGGAGATTTATATTGCCTATTCGCACATGTCGACTCAAGGCGGCTTACAAGAATATAAAAACATCATATAAAAACAATAAAACTCATAAAAGAGAGAATCATATATAATAAAATCAACTGGCGTGTATTTAGGATGGTCGTAGTGTCCCTAGGTTGTGTCTTCACCTTTTGTGACCTCCTGACAAGGAAAGTCAACAGGGAAGCCAGATTCACTTAACCAACCAGGTTACTCATTTAAGAAGAAGAATTCTTTATTGGCCAAGTGTGATTGGACACACAAGGAATTTGTCGTGGTGCAAATGATTCACTTAACAACTGTGGCAAGAAATTACTCTGTACTGGTGCTTTTCAAATTTGAAAGCTTTAAAAAAAGGGTGGGCTTCAGTTCTGGGAATTGAAGTTCAACCGTCTTAAAAATTCCCAAGTTTGAAAAACACTTCTCCATATCTTTTGTCGAGAGAATATTATGGGATGGAAAGCAAGATGAAGACTCAGGAAACTTCTTTGGGAGTCCATTTGGCTCTCAAGGAAGTTCAGGTTGTCCTCGACTTATGACCCCAACTAAGCCCCAATTTTCTGTTGTTAAGTGAGATATTTGTTAAGTGAGTTTTGCCCGGTTTTACGGCAACTCTTGCCACAGTTGTTTAAGTGAATCACTGAAGCTGACACGTCAGTAACCCGGTTGTTAAGTGAATCTGGCTTCCCCACTGACTTTGCTTGTCAGAAGGTCACAAAAGGGGATCGCGTGACCCTGGGACACAGCCACGGTCATAAGTGTGAACTAGTTGCCAAGCACCTGAATTTTGATCACATGATCACGGTGGGATGCTTGAAAGGTCGTAACTGAAAAATGGTCCTAAGTCACTTTTTTTCAGGGCTGTTGTAACTTTGAACAGTCACTAAGTCGAGGACTATCTGTATTGTAGGCAAATTGGGTTGATCAGAGTTGCTTTTTTCCTATTGCTAATTTGACTTCCATTTTTAGAAACTCCAGTTATTTGTTGCTATCTATCTATCTATCTATCTATCTATCTATCTATCTATCTATCACAATTATGGACTGCTTATCTCTCTTAAAAAGGGACTCTTTATGACTTACTTCAAAGGAAAATAGTGTTTAGAAGGCACAAAAGAGTGTGAATATCTAATATGCAGAAAGACAGCAAAAAGAGAATTTCCAGAATGTGTATTCAGTAAATCCTAATACACTTTTAATTATTCTATCATTTAGGATCCACTCCTCTATCTCAGGAAAATAGGGTTTATTAAATGCTGAGGGATTATAAAGATAAACAGGTATAGTTTGCACCTATAAAGAGTATAAATGCATCCGTAAATTGTTCCCTAGAATGCTTAAGTTAGACACAAATCTCTTTTTTTAGCGTAGGAGTTTACAATAATATTTTATCTTTTTTTTTTAAGTGTCGGGAAATCATGCCTCTTGCTACAGTTCACAGATAAATGGTTTATGGCTGTTCATGATTTGACAATCGGTGAGAATCAAAGCCAGATGGCTCTGTGAGTCTTGGGGAACCATAATTGTTGGAATTGTGCTTAGCTACCTGTAGATGCCCTATGGAGAGAAAAGTCACTGTGTTATTATTACAGTACTAAGAATATACACAGTGGGGTTAAAACTCATATAGACAAAGGTTCCATGTTCCAACTTCCTTAGAATATACAGTAGATGGAATATACAGTAGATACAATATGGATAATCAGCTCGGTGTAGTAGTTATGGCATCAGGCTAGAAAACAGGAGAATTTTTTAAATTTATTTGATGTCCATTTCACTAGGAGGTGACTAGAATGTGAGTTCTAGTTCCAATTTTGGCACAAAGCCAGCTGGATGACATTGGTGCAGTCACTTTCTCTCAGCCATAGGAAGAAGAAGGCAGTGGAAAACCACTTTGGGGGAAAATTTGCCAAGAAAAATTGCAAAGACTTGCCCAGACCATTTTTGAAAATCGGACACAATTGAATTGAAGAAAAAAAAGATGGATGGATGGATAGATGGACAGGATAGGATAGGATAGATAGGTACAGAGAGAGCGTGAGAGTGTGATGGATAGATGATAGAGATGATAAATAGATTGATTGATACACAGAGAGATGGATAGATGATAGATAGATAGGATAGATAGGATAGATAGATGTACACACAATATATATAAATATTATAAGACAGTCCTCAACTTACAACAGTTTGTTTAGTGACTGAAGTTACTACAGCAGGGGTTCCCAACCCTGAGGCCACGGTCCATTACCAGGCAGCAGCCTATTCGAAACTGGGCTGTGAGAGAAATGGGCAAGCGTGTGCGTGTGAAGCTCCTATCACGTGAGTGGAGAACACTTGAGCTCACGGCAAAGCTCCATTCACATGAATTCATGCATGAGCACAAGTACCCTCCACTTGTGCACAAAGCACCATCCATTCGCACGAGGACATGTGCCCCATTTGGACAAATGGAAGTGTGTGCAAGTGCACAGGCCTGCCTCTCACACTCCTTTTCCCTCACACCAGGTTAGGCCACCAAGCTTAAAGGTTGGGGCCTGTTGTTTTACAGCACTGAAAAAAGTGACTTATGACTCACTTAACAAGCATCTCTCTTAGCAAGATAAATTTTGGGCTCAATGGTTGTCATAAGTCAAGACTACCAAGATAGATAGAACATGAGAAATACAGGCAATCCATCAGGAGAAGATCATTTTAAAATTTTCTAAGGATAGCAGAGGATAGGTTAGGATAGGATATGATGACAGAATAAGAATGGAATGGAATGGAATGGAATGGAATGGAATGGAAAGGAATGGAATGGAATGGAATGGAATAGAATGGAATAGAATGGAATAGAATAGAATAGAATAGAATAGAATAGAATAGAATAGAATAGAATAGAATAGAATAGAATAGAATAGAATAGAGAAGAGAAGAGAAGAGAAGAGAAGAGAAGAGAAGAGAAGGATGGAATGTAATATACAGTAGAATATAGAATATCCCGAGTTTCTGTAGTTATTCCTTCTTTTGTTCTTGTACCTCTGCTTGTTGGACTCTTAATTTCACAAACTATTCTATATTCTGTTCCTTCCCGCCTTTCTCTAGATTCCCCCCCCCCAATTCCTGCCTTCCCCTTCCTCACCCTAGTCTGGGTTAATGTTTGGGGATCATGCCAAGAAAGGGGTACAAGTGGGAGTCCAGTCCACTGAGCCTGGTCCCCGTCAAATCTCTTTGTCTTCCATTTCCCCACCAGGTGTGGAGTTCGGGGCATGGATGATTACCATTGAAAACAAAAAGATCAAACTGCAGATTTGGGATATGGTGAGGAACCCCAGAAGCCTTTTGTGGGGGATTGATTGAGCGTGTAGAAGAGACAGATTGAATGGGACTGGACTGGCCAGGAGGAGCAAGGAGCAGTTGATCCCAGCTACCATCCCACCTCCACACCAAGGTGTGGTGCCATTTGGCTCACTCTTTAGGCCTGATGTGTAGTTTTTGTGTGCTTCTCTTTTGCTCCAAAGGCTGGCCAGGAATCCTTCAGTTCGATCACCCGCTTGTATTACTGAGGAACAGCTGGGGCGCTCTTGGTCTATGACATCACCAGGTGAGGCCCAACCGCAACGCAAAACCTAGACATGAATCAGGATCAGGTTTAATTGTTTAGCCTGGCGATTCCCAATGTTTTGGTTTGGAGGGCCTTTATTTATTTATTTGATTTGCCAATTGTTTACAAGATAATAAGTATAAGTGTATACATAGTTGTGAATACATGAAATGGGTACATATAAGAAAAATAAAAGAAGAATAAGAGAAACAATAGGACAGGGACGGTAGGCACGTTGGTGCGCTTATGCACGCCCCCTACAGACCTCTTAGGAAAGGGGTGAGGTCAATAGTAGACAGTCTAAGGTTAAAGTTTTTGGGGTTTGGGGAAGAAACTACAGAGTCGGGTAGAGTATTCCAGACATTGACCACTCTATTGCTGAAGTCGTATTTCCTGCAATCAAGTTTGGTGCGGTTAACTTTGAGTTTGTATCTATTGTGTGCTCTTGTGTTGTTATGGTTGAAGCTGAAGTATTCATTGACAGGTAGGACATTGCAATGTATGATTTT